CAGAACCCAGCAGAATGACTTCATTGGGTTTCCAAGACGGTGAAGCAAATTGGCACGTCTTTCTCCCACAGCGAGCAGGTGGACTGAACAGTCAGCATTTTGGTTACTACCTGAACACTTGGACCAGCATACCAGCAGGGCCCCTTCTGTCACAAAGATCACTTTTCAGTTTTCTTACTAGGTCAGCATTTAGTAAAGGGCTGTGGCTCAATTTCCTCACTTGTAATTTGAAGCCTGATTCTCCTCAGAGTCTTTTTGTCTCTTACATTGTGATAGCGGCATCATCTCCATGTTCACGAATTTGAATATTTTTATTAATTTTTAAGTAATTCAAAGAAGAATTAATATTTATTTTTTAGGATGTTCTCTAAAACAATGTAATAATTCTGATTTGTATGCTTGAAGATATAACCTGTGATTATTTTTGGCATAGCTTTATGACTCATTGATTCTTACTGACCTTCATTCTGGTAACTAGGACTTGTTCTTGCTATTGGTTGGCAAAGATTTAAACAAGCAAAGTCATGTTCCTTTGATATGCATGGTCCTAGGTGAGTGCATCTGCTGGAAAGACAACAGTCAATCAGACAATAACTTGTAGGCCAAAAACATGCTTTGAGGATTCCCAGTTGTATGTCCCTCAGTGCTTGTGACTTCTGGTTGTCGTAACTAGTCAGAAAAGACTGTTTTGTAGAAAATACCTACTTGGGGAGAAGCTGTTTTCAATAGGGTCATTCCACAGAAAATATATGAATGAGAAGATTATAAAAATTTCAGTACATTTGATATCCATGCTTTTTGATTTTAATATAAATTGTGTGACTTTGTGAATGGTTAAATTAAAAGCGGTGACATTTATACAAATTCCACTTTTAACCTGTTTCTCCAAGATACTTATTAGCAGGTTTACAACAGCAGAGATTTTTGCCAGCTATTTGAAGCATTTCTTTCTTACCTCAGACCTTTCACAGAACACTGCCGGGTCGATCTCGAAACCCAGAGATCTCCCTGCAGTGACTTACTGTAATTCCCAGTAGAAGGAGTTTACCAAGGGTGTGGAATCTTTAAACACTTTCACTTTATGAAGACCAGGTTTTAAAGAGACTCAGGCCACTTTCTTCCAAGTTTGGGGTTGCCTTGTGAGGTGCTTCTTGTTTTTATTTGATATTTGTCTTTATGTTGTGTGCATGTCTTTCAGTACATTAGAACATCGTATGATACCAAGCTGGATCATCTGTTACATTTAATGCTGAATGAGTGGAAGATGGAACTGCCGAAGCTGGTGATCTCTGTCCAGGGGGGTCTACAGAACTTTGAAATGACCCCCAAACTTAAAGAGACCTTCAGCCAAGGTTTGGTCAAAGCTGCAGAGACAACAGGGGCGTGGATTCTGACCGAAGGCATAAATACTGGTAACGTATACTCCTCTTTCTTCTTTTCATTCCTTCTTTCTAAGCCGTGGATAAGGCAGCATGACGCCGAATCGCTGCTTTGCGCACCCTTAGGGGATGTGTGTGCGAAGGCGAAAGAGGAAAACCCTAGGAACTGGTAAACCCAGGAGGAACAAAGGCCTGCCCTGGACGGTGATCTGGCAATTGTCATCGGTGAACTTCTGGCAACGAGAAAGAATAAGCTTTCCTGAGATTCAGACGTCAGTGAAGATAGAAGGGACCATGACTCCAAGAAGCTTTGTAATATGTGTGGGAATGAACATTAGCTAAGTTCATATTGTCATTGTCAAATTCACAGACACTGGAAATCAGTGATGCGTATGACAATTGCAGTGAATATATTGGACAAGAACAGATAATTGCTTCATATATATACATGCTTCACATATGTATTATATTATAGACACATACAAGCTTATGTATATTGCTTTACTTATATGTTTTACACATTTATTAAACAAGGGGGTATGCCCAAAAATACCCAGATTTTTTTTTAAAGCTATGTATTTAAATGTTTTCACAAAACAACCCGATCACCTTCAAAGTATTCTCTATTACACTGAATACATTTGTCAAATCTGTAATTCCATTCTTGGAAACATTTTTCAAACTCATCTGTTTGGATGGCTGACAGTACTTCCCTTGTTTTTTTCTTCACCTCCTCTACATTGTCAAATTACTGTCCTTTCATGTCCCTCTGCATTCGCAGAAACAAAAAGAAGTTGTGTTGAGTGAGGTCAGGTGATTCAGGTATATGAGGGGCAAGAGAGGCATGCTGGTTTTTGCCAAAAACTGATGCACTGAGAGGTGAGCAGGTGCATTGTTGTGGTGGCAACACCGTCCCCTGTCTGCCACAAATCAGTCCATTTTTGTCACACACTGCTAAGCAATCTTTTCAGAACCTCTAAATAGAAAGCTTGATTAACAGTCTGAACTGGTGAAACTAACTCCAAATGCACTATGAGTTGACATTTTCGCACATTTGGGAAGTTGATGGACATCCAGCGGAGCTTTTTTTGATTTTTTTGGGGGGGTACCCCCTCTTCTATGTTTCTATAGGTATATATGCATATAGGTATATATGCATACACACATAGAAGCATATATCTATATTGCTTCATATATATATATGAAACAATTATCTGCTCTTCGCCAATGTAAGGGAGCCCTGGTTATGGAATGGTTATGGGTTAGGTTGTCATCCGTATGGTTGGCATTTGGAAAACATCAGCTGCTCCACAGGAGAAAGACAGGACTTTCTTCTCCCGTAAATAGTTACATTCTTGGAAACCCATGGGGAGGCGGCTGTGAGTCAGCATTGACTTGATGGCAGTGGCGAAAACCCCCTCACAGCTCACCTCTTCACTTTACTTATAACTACGTCATTAACAAGGCACTTGTGTGAGGCTGGGTTGACTAGCGAAGCAAACCCAGGAACACTCATACATGTGTAAGACAGAGCTTTATATCCAGAAGTAGTTATACATCAAGCAAACATCCCAGCCCAGTCCAGATCAAGTCCATAAGTCCAATAACACTCCTTAAGTCTGATACTCATTCATAAATCCCTCTTCTGACTCACACAGCCACATTCAATGGTGCAGAATGCAGGGAGATCACTGGGTACAAAGTCTTGAAGATACAATGGTGGTGGACGCATCTGCAGGGCTCTGGCTGCCATCAGCGTGGCTCAAAGTAGCTCGTCAACAGGAAGGTGAAGCAGAGAGAGAGGGTGTGGTCCACTTCAGGGAGAAAGAGGAAGAGGTCAGCCTTTATTTTGGCCAGCCTCCAATCAAACTGCAACTTGATTGACAGGTTAAGCTCTGCCCACATGTTTCTACAGGAGCCATGTTGGCTCAAAAACTTAACTATCACAGCTCACTCCTTCACTTTATTTATCAAATTGAGATGAAATTACGTAATTACCGCAATACTTTTATCTCTATTTGCTTCTCATGGATTCTCCTTTATATCCCTTAGAATTTCAGGTAGGGGCATTTTAAGGCTAACTTTACCCTTTGCACTAGTATTTATGAGCTGGCTGCACATTAGCATCATCTGGGGAGCTTTTAAAACTAACCCAACCCAACCCACACCACACCACACCACACCCACACCAAAACATCCACAGATATCTAGACTCTTCCCTCAATTGATTAGCTTTTTGGAGGGTCCAGCTTCTGAAGAATGTCTGTTGCCTAGCTGGGGCTGAGACCATGCCACCATAAATCCTCTCTGAGCAATCAGTTATTAACTTTGTGGGTTTCAGTTTTTCTCTGTGTTTCTTCTTTTGGATCTTCCCACTTGGACTGTAGCCAGTACCTCCTAGTCTACTTTGCCCATCCCTTTAGATCAACATAAGGTGGCATGAAGTGTCTTGTACATTTTTCAACCACACGCACTGGTATTTGTTGCTGTAGTACACCTTGCCTGCAGCACTCACACGACTGATAGACCGAATTAGGCTTGTGAGAGCTGCAGCGTGATCTTTGCCCGTCTCGACCACTTTCTGCCTTCACGCCGTCTCACTCCTGTTCCGTCACTCATCTGAGTGGACAGCATTTGGGGGGCCCTTCCCTGACAAAGGTGCGCAGGTGAGAGAAATTGAGGCTGTTTGCTCCCGTAAAGATCGGCAATCTCAGAGCTCCAAGGGGCCATTCTACTCTCTTTCATTGGTTGTTCTGCGTCAGAGTTGATACTATGGCAGTGAGCTTTTTTTTTGAGGGTTTTTTCCTAACAAGTTTCCACCTTAAATGGGCTTTGGCTTAGAATATTTTATGTGGGGACTTAAAAAGTTCATGTACAATTCAATTTTCCCACAAACTTTATGAAGCCCCTCCGAATGGCATCTCTTGGGATGAGTCTATTGCACAGACTCATTTACCACTCCTACCAATCCGGAGGGACCTTAGAATCAGCAACACATTTTGATTGAACAAATAATTCCTTTGGGGCCTGACTGGAAAGAAAGGAATGGCATAATGACTGCAGAGAAAAACCTAGCAAAACAAAGTAAAACCGAGGGGCTCGTCCTATCACTAATGGGTAACTCAGGAGTCCATCCCGTCGTACCTTTCATTAAGGTCACTGCCGCTTCACGTGCTTGGTAGGAAATGAGGTTGGCAGAGGTCTAAGTCCACTGTACACTCTGTGTTTTATTTCCAGTTAAAAAAAAAGAGGTGGTGGTGGGGGGTAGGTAGGCATGGTTCACAGAGTTCAGAAAAAGGTAAACGGAGGCAAAGATTTTCTTTGAAGAACTCACTGCCTTCAAGGCTTTATCTTAAGATTCTTTTCCTTCCCTTTCATGCTTCTTTTATTTTAGGGACAATCAAGGAATAGAAATAGAAATACAACAGTGTGAAGATCATGGAAATAGTTCCTATGAACCAAAGAAATGGGAATTAGGGAATCTTGGGGCTTGCTTAAGCAGCAATCAGGATCTGACCCCATTGGATCACAACTCCTGTGTGGCCTGGCTGCTGAAGGAGTGGTCCAGGGACCAGCAGTCTGGTCTCAGGGGATGGGGGTGGGGGGCTTTGCTGGTAATGCAGAAGCTCAGGCCGCACCTCAGAACCGAGGAGGCAAAATGTGCCTTTTAAAAATCGTCCGGGAATGAAACGAGGGCTGCAGGTCGAGGCTGTCAGGCGGCACCGTGGATAGAGTAGAGGGAGAGCCCGGATGGCCTGGATGTCAGGGCCGGCCTTGCTCAAGAGGGCAATGCTCAGGATTTTCTGGCCAGGGGAAAGAAAGCAGGGTTTGAGGTCAGCTTGCATGCACAACATGCCCACAAGGAGCCGGACACGTTCCAGGTGGAGAGACCAGCACTAAGGAAAGAGGCTTTGAGAGGGAGTAGAAGTAGGCCAGGTTTTAGAAGCAAATTATTCGGTCCCAGCCACTTTCCCTAAGCTTTTACCTTTTGTATAACAGGTAACTCCTCGCTTTTCAAAAATTCACTTTACTTTTACGAAAGACTTCCATTAGTACCTGTTTTCACGAACTGAAAGAAATCCCAGGAGGATTTTTGCTTTCAAGACATGTGGGTGGATAAAAAAAAATAATAAAAAAATAGAAATGTGGGCGGTGGGGTTGTGGGATCAAAACTAGCTTCAGCCCTTTGTTTTGCAGGCAGCCTTACAAAGGCAGCGCCCACCCTTTTCCATCCACAGCAGTACGAGTGAGGTTGGCAAGCTCCTTCCAGGAACTTGCATCTCCGCCTCAAACCTCCATAGCGTTGAATGGTGTGAAAACTCTATGTTAGAGGTGCTTAGGGTGTTTATGTTGTTTAATATGAATCGGTAGTTTATACTTTAGGTCTGGAAAGCTCATAATAAAATTCCCATTGGAATGAATGGTAATTGTTTCTTTGCTGTACAGCATTTCACCTTAGGAAAGTTTCACAGGAAAGTTAACTGTCAGGTAGCAGGGAAACCTGTGCTTGCTTACATGCTTCTTTTTGGCAGCCACGGTGCTTTGCATGACTTGAGAGTTTGACTTCTAGACTTGTGTTCACAGGAGTGTCCAAGCACGTTGGCGATGCCTTGAAAGCCCATTCCTCCCACTTGCGAAAAATCTGGACAGTCGGAATCCCTCCTTGGGGTGTCATTGAGAACCAGAGGGATCTTATTGGAAGAGATGTAAGTGAAACATTACTTCACCCTAAGTGGAAATGAACCTACATCCATTAACTAACTTGTTACTGCACTCGGATGTCTTGTTAATAGCTCAAATTTAATACAGGTAGTCCCCAGCTACGACAGGAGCTGAGCAGATAAGTACTAGTCATTTCCGACAGAAGTAAAATACTTCATTAAAAACAACAACAGCACACCATTAGTGTCTTTTATTATCAGCAGCTGTATGAATCCAACTGTTACTTGTTTTGGGATAATAGAAATATTACATATAAATTTCAAAACTCACCTCTTTGCTTTGTTTCTAACTCATAGTGACCCTGTAGGTCTGAGTGGTCCCTGTAGTTTCCCGAGGCTGTAAACCTTGATGGGACCAGAGAGCCTCCTGTCTCTCTCTCTCTCTCTCTCTCTCTCTCTCTCTCTCTCTCTCTCTCTCTCTCAGAGGCTGGTGGCTCTGAACTAAGTCGTTCACATTTACCTAGATATTTTAATGCGTGTGTGTATACAAAAACCATACAAATCATAAGAATTTTCTTTGCCAATGATGAAGAGTTGGACGATTCTGTCATCTTATCAGTTGGGGCAGTAACTTCACTGTGGCAGATTCTGGGCGACCTGTGGGAATGGGGGTGGCGTTTCTAGTCAGACAAGTAATAGGAGTTGTCCACATGGTTCTGTCATTTTTACTTCATGTATTTCGTGGCAGCGACTCAGTTTCCCTAAACTTCCTGTTAACGTTAGCAAAGTGAACAACCTTTGGGAACATGTTTCAACCCACTGAAAGGGCTCCTTCAGTTCAGGAGGAGCTCCACCTAATACTTCCGTGACATTGTGGACAACTCTCCTCCCTCTGTCTCAGCTTTCCTGTCTTCTTCAGCCTTCCTTTCCTCTTCCAAATCCTGGGAGTCCTGATTTCCTATTTCTTTTCTAAATAGCCTTTGAGCTGTTCCACATCAAGTTCTAAATTCATTGTTGTTGCCACACAGGTAATTTTTTTTTCACCAAAACTTTCCATTAGATTCTCTGATCAAATGCTTAGGGGGTATTCACAGAACTTAGCAAATTTTGTTTGCCCTGCAAGTGTTTTTCCCACAACTTCTTTTCAGCAAGATCTATTAATAAGTTGTGCAAAAAGGGGAACTTTTTAACTGCTGCTCATCATATTCCAATACAGGGCAAGTAAGGACACCCTGACCCCATCTTTAAAATGTCAAAGCCATCTTTGGAATTACTCAGGCCCCAAACCATGGAGTAATCCATAATGATTTTTGTCTCACACTTCAAATACTGACCCATCAGTAATTATGTGAACTCTAGTATTATTATTAATTATCTAGTAACTATGTGAACTCTATTCTAAATACATTTAGAATCTGACTTTTCATTTCCTCCACTGTTCTTGAAGAGGTCCAACACACCAATATCTGGACCTGGAGAAGGAGCCTGGGAGGTACAGTGGGTTATGTGTTAGTCCACTAACCCATAGGTCAGTTCAAACCCACCAACTCCCCCATTAATGATCTATAATCCTGAAAACCCTATGGAGTAGTTTTACTCTACCACATATGGTCCCTGTGAGTACTCTATCACCTATGGTCACTGTGAGTACTCCTTCATATACGGTCACTGTGAGTACTCTATCACATACGGTCACTGTGAATACTCTATCACATACGGTCACTGTGAGCACTCTAGCACATACGGTCACTGTGAATACTCTATCACATATAGTCACTGTGAGTACTCTATCACATACGGTCACTGTGAGTACTCTATCACATACGGTCACTGAATACTCTATCACATACGGTCACTGTGAGCACTCTAGCACCTACGGTCACTGTGAGTACTCTATCACCTACGGTCACTGTAGTACTCTATCACATATGGTCACTGTGAGTACTCTATCACCTACGGTCACTGTGAGTACTCTATCACATATGATCACTGTGAGTACTCTAGCACGTACGGTCACTGTGAGTACTCTAGCACCTATGGTCACTGTGAGTACTCTAGCACAAATGGTCACTGTGAGTACTCTATCACATATGGCCACTGTGAGTACTCTAGCACATACGGTCACTGTGAATACTCTAGCACATATGGCCACTGTGAGTACTCTAGCACATATGGTCACTGTGAGTACTCTAGCACATATGGTCACTGTGAGTACTCTAGCACCTATGGTCACTGTGAGTACTCTAGCACATACGGTCACTGTGAGTACTCTATCACGTACGGTCACTGTGAGTACTCTATCACGTACGGTCACTGTGAGTACTCTATCACGTACGGTCACTGTGAGTACTCTATCACGTACGGCCACTGTGAGTACTCTATCACATACGGTCACTGTGAGTACTCTAGCACGTACGGTCACTGTGAGCTCTAATGGACTTGATGACCGTGGGTTTGAGTTGTGTTTTGCCTGGATGATTGTCATAGTCTTCCACAATTTTTCCGTGGTCTCTTATCAGAAACTAATTTTTTGCATAGTAGTCAGAACGGCTCCTCTAAGTGAGATTGGGCCATTCCTCTGTGCAAAACCTTCAATGGCCTCTCTTCTGCTTGGAGCAAAATCTTAGTTTCTTGTAATAGTCTGTGCATAGTGAAGCAGGGAAGATTAGTGATTTACTCCTGTTTAGTCATTCATCCATCCATCCATCTACATCTGTCTATCTGTCTGTCTGTCTATCTATCCATCTTTCTATCTATCTCTTTATTCCTTAAGACTACCTATTTGAATTTGTTCTTCGGAGTGGACTTTATAAAATGAATATCAATGCATTAATTTTTCTATTTTTAGTGAAAATATAAAATACTACAGAAGGTGTATAGAATATAGCCACAGTTATTAGTTTGTGTGTATCATTACTGTTTTTATTAATATGTGGATATATAGAGTAGTGTGTGAATATATATTTGATCAGAATAATATGATAGAAGAAATCTCATTATATTGATACATAGTAAAATAATTATGTGTGTAAAAAGAATGATGCTACAAAGCTGCTTCTGTAGCTCTTTCTTTATAGGTGTTGTTGAACTTTTGTCTGTAGCTGTCATTTATATGTACAACTAACAGGACTGCATATTGATCCATTATGAATGGGAAATTACCCAAAAAAGCAAACTGCTCCTTCACTACAGATAGTTTGAGAAGAACAGCTCTGTGGACCAATACCATTTCTTCAATTTTGGAAACAGCTCAGCAGTCTAGTTGGGAGTTGCCGAGGCTGGGGAGTAATCTTCAGCTCTGACCCCTCCTTGTCCTTGCTGTCTCTCAGGTGGTTTGCTTGTACCAGACTCTGGGCAACCCCCTCAGCAAGCTCACCACACTCAACAGCATGCACTCACACTTCATCTTGTCAGATGATGGCACTGTGGGCAAGTATGGAAATGAAATGAAGCTGAGGAGGAATCTGGAAAAGTATCTTTCTCTGCAGAAAATACACAGCCGTGAGTACTGAGGAAATTGTGTGTGTGTGTTGGGTGGGGCAGGGCACTGTGGTGAGCAAGGCACTCCATTGGTTATCTACCGAGAATGTTGGTAGTTGCCGCTGAATTGGACCCTGGCTTATAGGTACTCCTTGTGCAAATGTGCTTAGTCCTGCATCATCCCTATGTTCATTGGCAGATGGAACTCTTGTGACCCGGCTTTCATTGGCGATTTGCAAAGCCTTTCATCCTTGCCTGTTTTCATCTGAAAACGCCACTGAAACCTGCTCACCAGGATAGCAACGCATAGCCCTTCACTGCCAGATGAGTGGTGGCATGTGAGGTTCACTGGTTGGGAATCAAATGCAAGTCTTGTGTAGTTGAGTGTTTGAGTGTTATACCACTGAACCCTCAATGTCACCACATCAGCCCCTGCCCTGGAGCAGCCGGAGATTACATGAGGATGTGTGAACACATGGCCAGAAGTCCACTGACTGTAAGGTGAAGTAGAATTGTGGGTGACAGTAATGAGAGGAAAACCTTTGGATGACAGCATATTTAGGGGATGTTTCATACAAGGATAGAGGTTGTCGCTGAAGCGTGGAGAGTTTTTAGGAGTGGACGGATATCAGGAAAAGAAGTATTGGTGGTAGAGCAGTAAGAACACTAGCCTGAGAAGAGTGGACAAAAACTTTGATAACCATGGAAGATGTCATTTCTTTTCCTTTCTTTTTTTGTTGTTTGTTTTCTTTATTTTTTAATTATTTTATTGGGGCTTGTATAACTCTTATCACAGTCGTGGATGTACATTTGTTGCTATCATCATTTTCAAAACATTTTTGTTCTACTTGAGCCCTTGGTATCAGTTCCTCATTTCCCTCCCCCACCCTCCCTCCCTCATGAACGCTTGATAATTAATAAGTTATTATTATTTTTTCATGTCTTACACTGACCGATGATGTCTCCCTTCACCCACTTTTCTGTTGTCCA